ATGCCAGTCCTCCTTGAATATTTTATATGGCTAAGCTGCTGCGAATTATACACTTTTGATTGAGCGACTGAGTTCGTGTGATCAAAGACCCAAGCTTTGAACCTGCGAACACTGTCAACTGGTCATCAATTTTGCAGATAAATCAGAACTAACTGAAAAGTATGCGCTTTAACCACCGATATTTGATGTTGAAGGAGATCACATGGCTGTGACCAAAGCAGAGAAACGTGCGCAAGTACGCTGATCTAACCAGAAGCCCAATATACACACATTTCCAGCTCATTCCCTACGCTCGACCCTTGCATGGTGGAGACATGCAAGCAGCTATGTCAAGATGACGATGCCAGAGCTATGATAGGATGTTTCTGTAGAGGTTCGTTCAATATCTCCTGGAATAACTTCCGATATGAGTGATGTTCTGATGAAAAAAATTTTCATAGCACTTTTCACGCAACGATATCGGTCATCAACACAGGAAGTTTCAGGATCCGTCGAGGGACATGGGATGCGCATGTGCTTCTGTGGACCGTCACGGCATAAAAATGCAACAGCAGTGCTGTTTTAGTGCGACAACTTTTTGATGCATGTACATATGATTTGAAAATCATAATAAATGTAATTATAACAGGTGTACAAACCTGACAAGAGGCAGTTTTTTTCCATGGGAACATAAGAATTAATAAAGGAAGTTTGAAAGGAATGATAATTTATTTGGGAAAACCGTGCAAGCATATTACAAAATCACAGATATAAGTCAATTTTGAGGAAAGATCTTAGTTCTAGTCTTCGAAAAAGAAGTCCTTTACCAGGTCAGCATTCTTTGCTTGAGCGTCGAGCAATCGCTTGTGCTAAATTAACTTTAAAGTTCTAAAGCGAAGGACAAAGAAGGAACAGCTAACCTTTTTTCCTACTTCCAGCAACGTTGGAACACAAGTAAGTTTGAAATCCTTGTCAGTGCGGAAAGGACAAGCTGGGTCTTTCCAACTAAAAAGATCACAAATCTGAAGACTGGCACAGGAAATGCTGGGAACGAACTTACTATTCGCGAGCTCCTACGTAACAAGTAACAAATGTGGCATCCAATTCTTTCCCTTCCTTTCCATTAACTATCGATTCTACAACTGGTTCGGCTGAAATTAAAATTCCTTATGGAGTTGACAAGCACAGGAAAGTTAGAGCTATTTAACATTATAAATGTGCAGGGGATTCATCAGGAGACAAAGATATGGAG